AGTATTAATTCAATCATTAGAGTTCTTTCATAACACCGGTGTGCCATTAATTTAATGCTGGCGTAAAAAAAGTTATAAAAGTAAATTAAATAAATAAATATATAATAAATTGTTTCTTTAATCGCGCTGCCAGCAATTAATCTCAAAATTATTTGCCGGCACTGCCGGCAATTACCGCTAGCCTTATTTATTCTGAAAATAGATAATAATTTTAAGTACGAAGCATTTCACAAATGTGTAATAAAAACGCTCTCGCAGAATAGAATTACCATATTAAATAGATGGTCGCATATTGTAAAAGCAGTTTGACTTACGAGATAAGCAGTAAAAAAAATATTATTGAGCAGCAACTATTTTCGATGGTTGATAAACTTGTCACAGATAAAAAATATTCTGTTGTTAGCAATGATTAGAGCATTTAAATATTTTTCAATGTCACGTGCTACATATAATCGTCTCAGAGAAGATTTTCAACTTCCTAGAATTACAACATAAACAAAACTAACATCAAAAGAAAAATCTGTTCATGAAGATATATTTCTACAAAAAGTGTTTTGAAACTTATCTGACTTTAGACATAAAAATTGTATTCTTCTATTAGACGAAGTTTATGTTAAAACTATGTTGCAGTACCATGGGGGAACAGTGTTTGGAAAAGCAGTTAACAATCCAAATGTTGTTGCTAATACTGTTTTGAGTTTTATGGTTGTTACTTTATTTAGTGGACCCATATTTTTATGTAAAATGCTTCTAGTACGTGAAATTGATTCAAATTTTTTTATTTTGAACAAACTAACCTTCTTCTATCTGCCATAAAATGTGGTAATGTTGTATGGGTAAAGCTACAGTTACGCGGCCTAAAATAATAATATTTTTGCCAGGGGGTTTTGCTACATCGGTTATCTTATAGCCTGACTCGCAACGGAGTGCTGCTGCATCGACTGAGGGTTTGGCATGGGGAAGCAATCTTTTTCCTTTTATTATACCGATGTAGCAAAACCCCCTAGCAAAAATATAATTATTTTAGGCCGCGTAACTGTAGGATTACCGTTGTATGTATGTATTGTATGGTAACAGGGTAACATACCGTTGCATGTATGTATTGTATGGTAACAGGGTAAATCAGGCCTTTTTTAAGAAATTTGAGACAGACGGCGTACTTTGGCATACAAAAGATAACATTTATCTTTTATATGATTTTGTGCACCTTTTAAAAAATATTTGCAATAATTGGATAACTGAAAAGACTCAAGAACTTAAGTTTTATGTTAATAAGGAAAAAAAAGTTGCCAAATGGTCTCACATTGTAGCATTGCATAAATTAGAATCAAATCAAATGATTAAAATGTTTAAAATTACTGATGTTGCTATATTCCCCAAACCAATTGAAAGACAAAAAATTTCTATTTGTCTAAAAGTATTTTGTGAAAAAACTGTCTGTGCCTTAAAATGTCATCCAGACTTGAAAAATGTTGACGATACTATTTCATTTCTTTCAATAATAATTGAATTTTGGAGAATTGTTAATGTTCATAACCCTTATGCAGATATACGTATGCGTGATCTAAACCGAGTTGCAATTTTTTCTTCTGGTGAAATTAATCTTCAAAAGCTGTTAGAATTTGGAAACTTAGCTAAACAAATGTGTTTTTCTCAAAAGGTTCGTCGTAAAAGTTTCACAAAAGATACTTCTAAAAGTCTTTATCATACATGCAATGATCTTGTTGAGTTGTCAAAGTTTCTCTTGTCAACAAATCAAAATATGTTTTGCTTGGAACATTTACCACTGATCCTTTAGAAAAACAGTTTGGGAAACTCAGGCAAGGATCAGGTGGTACATATTTTTTTACTGTACAACAAATATTAGAGAAAATTGGTATTATAAAGACAAAACTGCTTTTGCAATTAGACAATAATGGTGATAGTCTTGATTTTACTGTATCAGGGCATTCTTGTGGAAGATGTGGTTTTTACATGAACGAAGAGAAATGTTTGATATTTGATAACTTACCAGAATTAGAAAATATATTATCTATAGATGTTAAAATGAGTCTGATTTATATAGCTGGGTATGTTGTCCAAAATGATGAAGATTCAGATGACTCATACTTTTTTTATGAGAAATTCAGATATTTTACTGATGAAGTCAATCGTGGAGGATTAACTGTACCTGGTGGTTTGTAAGTCAATGGGTTATATATTGTTATATTATGTTTCGTGAAGTGGCTGATAACATATGCATTTCTTCTTTATGCAATCTAATGATGTTTATTTCAGAATCATATCAACTGAATATGAATAGAAAACATGGTGTTATACTTTCGAACATATTCTTTAAAAACTAATGTAATTTGTATTCACTAAGATCAGAAAAAGAACCAAAACAAAAAATTTTGAAACTAAGTGTTAAATAACATTGATATTTAACACTGAGTTTCAAAAAAAAAAACCAACATAAAATACTGTTTTTGTTTTAAAAAATTTGAATTAAAATAATATGATGAAGAATGATGGTGAAGGTATTCAACTTGGTTTTACTTGGTTTTTATGGTTAGTAAAATAAATGATAATTTGTAAAAATTTATACATAAATTTTTAAAAATTTATGTATAAATTTATTTATAGATATATTTGTAAAAAAATCTATTTAGTATTTTTTTATTTAGTATTTTTTTGATTGAAAATTAAATTTCAAGTTTAATTCATGTTATTAGTGTTTTTTCTGTGCCTCCAGTTTATGACGTCATCCGCACGGTGAATGGACCCGTTATAAAGTACGCCATGGATTATGGGAAAATTTCCGGAAATTTTAAGCTCGGGAAATTTAATGGAAATTTTTAAAATTTTCAAAAAAGATAAGTTATTTTATAATTAATGGGTAAATTTTTCTATATTAGTTAGGCAGTTGTTATGGACAATTTTATGGTAAAATATTGTAAAGCAGATCATATAAATTTTAGAATGCCCTCTTTGAAAAACACTTTTTAAGGTAGCTTTTTTATTATAACAATTAGTAGCAACTATAATCACAAATTACTGAAAATTACAAAATTATATATAAAAAGATTTGATATAAATATTTCCAGTATTTTACAATTTTTTCTTAATTTACAGACGTTATTAATTAATGAAAGGCAAAAAGTAAGGAATTTTGTTTTGCTAAATTTAAACTATTTAAAAATAAAGTTAACAATAAAAATAAAGAACTAATGATTTTGAGGTCATAAATCCAATGCTATGTTTAAACAAGTGCGTTTAAGCCGTAGTGCAGCGGTTAGCGCGCTTGGCTCAGAAACTAGAGATCCGTTGTTTAACGCCAGCTCTGGGCAAGTTTTACAACATTGGAAGAAAAGGGACGTAAACTTTCTTTTAAATGTGCTTCCGCGGTGTTCTGTGTTAAGACCGTAAGGACATCTTGGAGCACCAAAAATATTAATAATAATAAAAAAGTGTCACTCGCCACAACCTTGTAAGGAGACTTTTGACTTTATAAATCAATATATTAAAAAATGCGGGGAGAGGGGGTACGTAAAAAGTAACGTTTCTTAAAAATAAAAGTAAAACCGACTATAACTTAAAAACCACCTTCTTTGAGGGGGTAAAACATCCTCTTTTCCCACACACCTTTCCCCAAAATCGTCTTTGTATGCAATATGTACGCATAAAAAATCTTTGTATCTTTTGGTGACTATGGTTAAAAAAATATTATCTTTTAATAATATCTCCATGGTAAAAAAAATATCTTTTTTTTTGGTGACTCTATGGTTAAAAAAATAACGCTTTTAAAACTTTATAACTAAAACATACATTCAATGAGTCTAAAATTTTTTAGAATATCTTTATTATATTTCAATATGATATCATATAGATATCATATCCATAGATAAATAAATTCAAGTATGGTTGTGATATCATCATGAGATTATATTGAGATTAGGACTTGATATCAACCCATGAGAAACTTTTGATATCTAAATTTTATATACACCAATGTAATTGAAATAAATACCAATGTAATTTAATTTTGAAGTTTCTCATGGTTTGATATAATGATACCTACCAATATATCAAATTTTTGATATTATATTTTGATATCGTATCTTTAAATGTTTCCAAATTTTCTACAAACCGTTCTGCTTTATCTCGGTTTTGCGGTTTTTACCCAGCCGTTTTAAACGCTCTGGTAATTCAACAAACCCAATCATATTCACAGTCCAAGCACATTGTCACAATGTAGTTATGATTTTTGTAGCGGAATTGACTATTTTTGAGATAATTTTAAAAAATACAAACAAGCCATGTGATTTTCTTAAAAGCAGATAGTGCCGCTATAACGATCGTTATAACAATCGTCATGGCGAATATAACGATCTATTGCATCTTTAAGAGGTCATTAAATTGGTCTTTAATGATCATTGAAGGGGTTTAAAACGGAGAAATATTGTATATGTATATATGTATATATATATACATGAAATATATGATATATATATATATATATATATATATATATATATATATATATATATATATATATATATATGTCTATATATATATATATATATATATATATATATATATATATATATATATATATATATATATATATATATATATATATATATATATATATATATATATATATATCAAATATGTAAATATATACCATTCTGAGAACAGGATGATATCAACTTTTGATATCATAAGGTTCTCAAATTATGATATCAAATTTGAGCTAAAATTGATATAACTGTGTGATTTCATTTTGATATCATAGATCTCATAGTATGAGATCAATATGATATAATTATGATATCAAATGGCTGACTGGGAATAGATCATTAAATAAAAATCAACTTTTTATTTAAGATAGTTAATCCAAACTTATAATAATATCATTAGTTTTGTGTAATTCTGCTCCAGTCCCTCACGTAATTGTTAAGGAGTACTCCTTGAAAATTTCAAGTTGATTGCTTTTATACTTTTTAAGAAAACCCATTTTAAGTTATGCGCAATATCCAAAAAAAAAATTCCTTGGCAACCTTGGCAACATGTTCTGTAAATGCTCCGCGACCCCTTTGCTTCATTTCCTTATCTGACAAGACTGGGCAATTTCCAACACGATTCCTACGTGCAGTTCCAACCATTTGAATTCCCCTCTTGAACATATAAACATTTAAACCAATGCTATTGAACCAATTGTCAACATACAATTTATGATTAGTGTCATCGGGCAGGATTCGGGCTAGGCGCATGACAACGTTACTACTTGCCCCAAGGTCTGGTTCATTCTCAAAGCAAATGTTGTCACTTCCTCCACAGTAAACTTCAAAATTATAGCTGAAGCCAGAGACACCACTCAGAACAAAAACTTTAAACCCCCATTTGTGTGGTTTTTTAGGGTTGTATTGTTTGATTAAATGTCTCCCTTTGAACGGAATAATCTGCTCATCAACCGCCAAATTTTCTTCAAATGGAATACTGTTCAGCTGTTCATTCATTTTGTTTATGAGAGGGCGTATCTTGAAAAGCTTATCGTCTTTGTCAGCAGAGTTGTTGTCAGCAAAATGAATAATGCTTTTTAATTTTTCAAAGCGGTTGACGGGCATAATATTAGCTACATGAGCAATTCCAATGGAAGACGACCAATAATCTCTTGTGCTTGGGAGTTTGACAACAGACATATACAAAACACATGCAACAAAACTAATTATATCTTCCTCTTTTACAGCAACTGGTTTTTCAGGATTGGTTTGCATGGAATACAACGTTGTCTGATAGGCAATTTCTTGAAAAAGCTCTTTTGGAAAAATCCGATAAAAGTATGACAGTTCTGAACCAAGACAATCCAATAACTCGTCCATTTTTTGTTGGTAGTTACCTTTAAATTTGTGGTCTTCTTGTTTATTTGGAAGACTTTTAACTTTCCACAATAGCTGAGATTTTTTTGCAGGCTTTTTTCCATTTGCGTTTGGTTTATTGGTAGCTTGCACCACTGTTGCACCTTCTTTTTTACCCGCGCTGCCATTTGCTCTTCCTAATATTGAAAGTAACTGATTGTCATTGCTGTCAGCATTTTCATCACTGCTATCAACTTCCTCACTGGACGAAGAAGGTATTGGCAAAAATAGTTCGCAATCAGTTATATTTTCTTCATCGCTGGAATCTCCGCCTGAGGAGCATAGATCTGAGTCGTCATCAGCAAATTTGATCAAGACAGGCGCTTGTATCCAGTGGATACCAGAAGGCTTTCTACCATAGAAAGAAGTTGGCTTGATTGCTAAAGATTAGAAGAAATAATAAAAATGTTTTATAACAAAAGAAATAACAATAAATCAAAAATATGAAATTAAAATTTTTTGCTTTAGATGCATGATGTATCATTTCTGATACACTTACAAAAAGAGTTGTTGAGGAATGAAAGTTTAAGAAATTAGGTAAATAAAAGCGCAAAAGGACTACCAATAGGTATAAGAAACTTTGGGAATTTTTGTGGGTTTATGATTGAAAGGAATCTTTCTTAACAAAATGATGTACTTACAATAATTAGTTGATTTGCTGCCGGATGCCATTTTGATAATATGAGAAATAAAATTGAAAGTAAAATTTGCAAAAAACATTCCAAGTACGGTGGCCACACTCACTTAAATATTGCACGCTTAAAATAAACTTAATTCCCATTTAAAATTCCTGAGTGTTTGACCAGAGATACACAATTTATAAACTGTATCATATATGATACAGTATGCAGAAAGGGGTTAAAAAACGCATTTAGAAAACATATAGTAATATTTTTTAAGATTTTTCTGCAAAGTAAAATTTGCCACATCTTTTTCTTTATTGATAAATTTTCGACACCTCTTATCATTTTTCTGTTCTTTTCTAATTTTTTAAGTGCTTGAGAAGATTTTCTTTTTAAGTGCTTCAGAATATTTTCTTTTTAAATTGACGTTGTCGGTGGCTGTCTATTTTAAATAGTCAGGAAAAAAAAAAGCTTTTAAAATTTTAAAAGCTTTTAAAAAAAGCTTTTAAAATGGCTTCTTAACTACTGAGTAAATTTCAGATAACAACCATTTAGTTGCATTTTTTGGTGTGCTGTTCAGTATTATTATTATTTTTTTTTTAATTTCAAATCAATGAACAAGCGTCATTTTTTAATATTAGGCACTTAAAATAAGTTTAAAAACAAATTAAGATGCGTATAGTTGAAAGCTATTTTGCTGTAGGAGAGCGACTTGTTTGTTTTTTTGAAATTAATTTTCAGAATTTTTAACTCCGTGAACTTGAAAATTTTTCCTTTAACTTCTGTCATGTTTTTTACTTTATAGTTTATTATTTTTTGGTTCTTGCTTAATTTAAATTTGGCAGAAAAATGTATTTTTATCGTTTGAGTAGTTTAGTGCTAAGATTTTATTCTTAAAACTTTATTTTGGTGCATTTTACACAATTATGTTATAAAGATAAACTTTATTACTAAACTTTAGCAATGAAAATATGTGTGTATTTTTTGTTTCGTTTTAACCTAAACAAAACATACACACAGGAATTTACCGTTACTAGGAGCGTTGCTATAGAAGCTCAAAAGACTGTACCTTAAAAAAAATGGATATTACTCATAATAATGAGTTTGAATGTATATAGATATATATTTTCTGAATCTAGAATAAATTTCAAATAAAATAACATTAAATTAGCAAATAAAATTCCTAATACCCAAGTTGTGTTCAATAACTTTTTAACACAGATGTATGATTGCATTTGTTCAAATAATTTATCTTCTGAGCTATCATTTGAGGAGTTTCAAGTGTCGTTTAAATCTATTGAAAAAAACAAAGCCCCTGAAGCTGATGAAATAAATGGAAACATAGTCTTAGAATGCTTTGAACAATTAAAAGATATTCTCTTTAAAGTTTTCAGAGCGTAAATACAACAAGGAGTTTTTCTAGAAAAGTTAAAAATAGCTAAGATAATCCCAATATACAAAAAAGGAGACAGAACTAATATATGTAACTACCGACCTATTTCTATTTTATCAACATTTTCAAAAATCTTAGAAAAAATTATTTACAATAGATTATATACTTATTTTAAGGAGAAGAATTTTTTTTTATAAAAATCAGTTTGGCTTTAAAAAAATAGTTCTACTGAGCAAGCAATCATTTAATTCGTCCGTGAAATCTCCAACTCTTTCAAAAATTCCCAATTCACTTTAGGTATTTTTTTGGATTTATCTAAAGCATTTGATACAGTAAATCATGGCATTTTGATTCATAAACTTACATATTATGGAGTGGGTGGTGTAATTTTGAAGTGGTTTAAAAGTTATTTAACAAACCGAAAACAATTTGTTTCTTTTAACGATCCTTATCAAAAAAATGTTTTAGATATTTCATGTGGTGTTCCGCAAGGATCAATTTTAGGGCCACTTTTTTTTTTAAGGTGGTTATCAGGTAAAAAAATTATTTTTTGATTGCCAACTTAATCATATACCAAAGTTAGTTTAAAAGAAACATACTTATTAATATAATTAAAAATGATAAAAAAAAAATAATTTCCTTTTTTTTTTTGCTGAATCAGCATAAAATGCAAAAAAATCAATGAAAAAAGAAAACAACATTTTCTCAGCCTCTTTATGACATTATAAGCCAAAACTTACAACACTGATAGATTATAGTGTATTAAACAAAAGCTTACTAGAAAAACTAAAAATAATTATTATTTTTAAAATGGCAGCTTTTTCAATTTTAACGGAAATTATTGATACAAAAAAAAAAGGTAAAATATGAATATATTCAAATGGAAACAAGCTTAAGATTAGTTCTAGTAAGCTATTGCAGTTCTATCTATAAAGAAACAACCCTGAAAATTTGAACTCAATTGCATATCTGGTTAAAAAGATATGAATGATTCGCTTATTGCAGTCAGGCAAAAACAAACAATTGAGAAATCAAGCTTCAAAGTTTAAAAACAATTTATTAATTAAAAATTTCCTGTAATATAAGAGTCTACTCCCTCTTTTTCTTTCTCCTTATCAATATAACCCTTCCTGATACATCTCCTTTTCCTTCTAGCCCTTTTTTGCTTTGGAGTTGAATTTTTAATCGTGTTCTTTACTCTTGATACATCCTTCTTCCACGATCCTTGGATCATAAAACTTCCAGGCAAGAGCTGCAAATAATCAAAAATTCTTGTGAAACCTCTCAAACCATCATTGTAATTTATTACAGCTGAAGGCTGTTGCAAAAAAACCTCAACTGTTTTCTTAGTATATCTATTACCTTGAAAAACTCGTTTAACTTTTCTATTTTTAAAACTTTTATTCTTTGCCATAATAAAACTTTTTTTAACAACTTTAAACTTTTTTCTTTCTGCTTAACAAATAACATCAAAACATACGGCTTTGCTAAAAATAACTCTGGTTCAAAAGTTTAGTTAATTATACAGACCCATGAAAAGAAATAATTGTTTAAATCTAGGTCTTTGGGTAATATATCTATAAAAAATTATTGGTTGCTATGCGGTTGTTAAGTAAATTTTTTTTACTCTTACCAACTAAAACAATTTTTTTATATTTTTTTATTAATTAACCCATATCATGTTATATATGGTTAAAAAGCCAATTAAATTTTAAACAAAGTTGGCTGATAAACTAAAAAACACATTTTTTCACAAAAATCGCTATTTTTTTACCTGATAACCACCTTAATATACATTAATGACTTGCATAAAGCTTCTAATCTTTTGAGTATTATGTTTGCGGATGATACTAATTTATTTTTATCTGATAACAATATTAATAAACTCTTCACTACTATGAATGAAGAACTCAAAATAATTTCTAGCTGGTTCAAATGCAATAAACTTACCCTAAATATTAAAAAAACAAAATGGATTCTTTTTCATTCGATAACTAAAAAACGTTATTTACCCCCAACTCTACCTGATATTTTTATTGACCATATTAAAATAAAAAGAGATTGCACCACAAAATTTTTAGGCGTATTCCTTGATGAGAACATCACATGGAAGCAACATATTGATTATGTTGGTACTAAAGTTTCGGAATTCTTTATAAGGCCAGAATCTATGTAAATAAAAAAGTTTTATCCCAACTTTATTATGCATTCATTCATAGCTATATGAATTATGCAAATATTGCTTGGGCAAGCACTGAAAAAAGTAAGTTACAATCTCTCTATCGCCGTCAGAAACATGCAATACGTGTAATTAATTTTGCTGATCGTTTTTCTCACTTTAAACATCTTTTTTCTGAAATTAGAATACTTAATATTTACGAACTTAATATTTTTAATATTTTATGCTTTGTATATATATGTAAAAACAATCTTTCTCCTGCCGTTTTTAATGATTTAATTACTTTGAAACCTACCAATAAATACTCTCTAAGAAATAACAACCTTCTATATGAGCCTTTTTGTTGAACAAGTTTTAACCAATTTTGCATTGATTATCGTGCACCCCATCTTTGGAACAAAATTGTTTTGCCTAACTTTAATTTTGATCTACCTACTTCTTTGCATCTTTTTAAAGTTAAGCTGAAAAATCTTTTTCTCTCCCGTATTATCAAAATTTGGCAATAATATTTATATTATGGAAATATTTATTAAACTTTATTATATATACTACAAAGTGATATATGTATGTATATTTTATTTTTATTTTGTTGTACTTATAGTTACTTTATAATATAATATTTTGTTTACACTAGTATAAGGTTCTGACGATAAGATCTTACTGATCTTCTTTCAGATACCTAGTTTTTCAAATGTTAGTAGTATTTGCTTACTTTATAATTTGTATTAATTTTTTATTTACTCTCATTATATTATAAAAACGAACTAACAAATGTAAACTAAAATATTTAAAAAAAAAAAAAAAAAAACTTAAATGTATTTTTTTGATTTTATAGTGATTTTTAACCATAGAGCCATCTTAAAACACTCTACAAAAATAATGCTCAATAATATTTATTGATCTAAAAAAGACGTAATTCTTTGTATTTTTTATGAATATTTTACATCGTTGTTGAGAGGAGTAAAAGTTTGATATAAGTTATACACAAGCTTAAAAGACAAGCTAACGAGGAAAACATCTACTTTTGATATTTTAGAAAAGTAATTTAAGGGATCGTCCATAAGTTACGTAACGCAAACTTTCACAATAAACAAAACAAAGATTAAAATTTTTTTGTCGCAGTCTTAACTTGTTTTTTAAATATATTTTGTTTTTTAATAAATTTATGGACGATCCCTAAGCAAAAGTAACATATAACAACTTGAGGGTTTTATTGCTGTTTTTTTTAAAAATACGAAATATTTAAAGAATACCTAAATACTACGGTGATAAAACACATATCTTTGAAACAAAGAAATTAATTTTATAGAGCTATATAATAACTATGAAATTTATTGGTACAAAAAATTTTAGAAAATTTCAACCCTAATTAAGATAAATATTGTTAAATTAAATCAAACTATTAAAACCCTTTACCGAAAATATTCTTCCCGTAAATATTCCCGTAAATATTTCGAAAATATTCTTCCCCGTAAAA